GAGCGAGCGAGAGAGAGAGAGAGAGAGAGAGAGAGAAGGAGAGATAGAGATAGAGATACAGAGAAAGAAGGCACCCCGAGGCGTTTCATGCCGCGCGGCCTGCCTGCTTCGCCGGTGAATCGGCGAAATCGTCCGTTGCGCGCCATCCGTCCGTCCACGTCAATGGAATTATCCGACGGACCGGTTAAAAACCCGTTTTTCACCGGGCGACTTAAATGCCAGATCCAGATCTACCGCAACCCGAGTCCGGGATCGATAACGCGCGCATTTAAACGCCGACGCCGCGATCGATGGGCACCTCTTATCAAAGCCGGCGCAGGTGAGATCTACGTTCGGAGTGCAAAACGAACCTAACGTTGATTTAGAGTCCCTTTCCCATGGCTGCTCCGGAATCACGGAAAACTGATTTCATTCAAGTTTCCGTTGAGCGTTGATTCGGATTTCGCCCCCCCCCCCCCAAGGATAAGATCAGACGGGCGAGCATTCCACTCTCGGTAATCCTCATTATCTTACGTTCGCGATGTGAATTTGCGAATTATCTTCCGCGAAGATTCCTGCTGGAGTGACACGAGTCACCGAGGGCACGCGAGAAGTCACCGTGAGGAGACGGGACGGATCCACGGGATTCAAGGCTGGGATATGTAAAAGTCAATCTCGAGAGGACCGGGGATTTAATGGGCTCGCGCTCTCGTACGTCGCTCGTTCGCTCGCGTTTTGCATGGATTTCGCCAGCTCCGTAGCGAGCCGGTATAGCTGCTGCACCTTGCATTATGTATAACCGATCTCGCCGCACGCACACGCGACGCATTAGGACGTGGACGATGGATTCGCGGCAGTATCCAGCGCACGTCGTGTCGTTCGCGTTAACGTCGCATTCCCGAAATTATCTCTCCCGCTCCGCCGGCAAGTTCAAAAGCTCCCTCATTAGCAAAGTGATCTCTCCCGCTGCCGTCTTCCGCCAAATAAATCTCGCCGCCCCGGAAGACACTTATTTAAAGCTCCGAATGTGCCGTTTCCGCACGGCTGACGGATCAAAGCACGAGATAATTAAGTGTTAAGTGATTACCTGCGGCGCCGGTCGAGGGACACACCTCTGATTCATTGTTCCGAGTCTCTTAATCCGAAGTCTCGGGACACTTTTCCGCAGGCATAGCATAACTAGTAGGCCCACTCCGTCATTTGTTTCGTTTTGCGTCAATCCCACGGCCTTACACACTCGACTCTCTTAACGGTCCCGGTTTTTACTCCGATTTTTAGCCGCAAGGTGCGCTACAATAGAGGGATGTCACGTGCGACAGATACAGAAAGTAGCATTTGCCATTTTCTTTCGCAGTTCTGTACCCCGTATTGCACTTTGGTACCGCATACGGCTTGGTTGATCTAGACAAAAAGTATTAAAAATAATCTCATAGAGCACCGTTGAAGCTATATCTCGTCACATCCCTCAACAGCAGTGACGCGCAGTAATGATAGCGCGAACGAAAATCTACCCCCGTTAATGGAGACCCCCCACCACTCGAAGTTCGATGTCGTTTCCGATATTTTGTTGGTCCAGCCAATGAGAGAAAAGTTGTATCGAAGCTACGCCATCACACGTATAATTACAGTACGTACACACACGCATACGCCGTTGGATTTGGACCAAAGACATGGCGGAATGCTACGCGATCGGGACCGAAAAGATCAAAGGGCCGACAGAGAGTGGACCTACTAGTTATTCTATATCCGCAGGCGTGCTCCCGTACTCGGACATCGGTATAAAAGTTTACTCGTGTCTTGCAATTAAAGTAATCCGCGAGACACGACCGATGTGCAGCGAGAATTAAACTTATCTTGGTCACCTTGATTTTCAACTGTACCGAGGAATCTCGAAAAGACGCGGCGCGATGTCTTTTCACTCGCGCAAAGTTCCCCCAAGGTCGCCCGATGCGGCCGCAGACAGCTCCAAGGTCGCTCGCGTCTGATGTGCATTTATTGCGCGTCTAATCGCACGATTTCGCAAAGATCGGCGCGGACGGGTCCACTCCACTCTTCCTCGCACTCATCCCAGGAGACCCTACAGGCCTCTTTACTCGGACAAGGACGGACAAAGCGAGAGGGACGTACCCGGACCAGGACGAGCTTGATCCCGCGTCCACATTTCCGTTCCCGTTTCAGGGTGTTCCCGGCCGGCGAAGGGTTCAACGACCACGCCGCTCCATCTCCTCCACCTTCACAGACCGCGTATCTCCGCCGACAGAGAGGACACTTCTACCCTCCCCCTCCGCCCGCCTTCGCGGGCTCACCCCGTTTCTCCCCGCTCTCCCCCTCTCCATTTCGCCACTGATTACTTTGGGAGGGTGGAACGCATTCATTACGCGTCCGTTCAGTTTGCAGACTTTCGGGATCGGCGCATAGGGAAAGGATAGAGAGCGGGTGGTAGGGAGAGGGAGAGAACGAAGAACTGGCGAGAGGGGAGGAAATTCGAGGGTGGAAATTCGAGAAAGAGGAAAACGGTGACCGCCGGGAGGTGAGAGAAAAGAAGATGGATCGGTGCGACGGGAGGGCGGGAAAGGATGAGAGGGGGAGGGTGGAACGTCCCAGTCTCGGGCAGGGTCGGCACGACGAAGGGCGCAGGGCGAACGAGGGTGCGAATCGCGGAAAGAACGCGTGTGCGGTAAAATTAGGTGTTGTTGAAAGTAGTTTGTTGCCCCGCGGTCGAAAAATCACTGACGGGGAGATTTACGACTCACTAGGAATATTTATCTTTCGCGCATTTCAGTGGAGTGGCATAGTCGCGACGTTTCGCAAAAGGATAATGGCATTTCAACCTGATTTAGGAGTAATTTGCAATTACCATGCGATACACCCTCGTTCCAAGGTAAATAAAGCAACTGCATTGGCGGAACTGGAGAAAAATATCTCGATAAATGTTGATGAGCTCGGAATTTTACTAACAATAATCAGAATCAGAACAGTTGCTGCGAAGTTAATATGTATTCAGCTTCGAGCAGATGCCTCTCGTTCAATGATATTAAGTTATAAGTTGGGGAAAAAGGTGTCTTTTTCGTAACACTTACTTATATTCACCAAATCTAGCAATTTTCCCGTTTCAAATATTTCCATCTGTTACGCTGCAAATCTGCTTTCAATTTCAGCACAAGAAGAGAGAGTCGAGTCTACGAGATTTGATCGCTTCGGTTATATAAGATACGTTCGTTTCGCTGCAGCGTACGGTAAAATGGTTGTTAGATCGAGGTTTAATCCGTCCTTTCTTCTCCTCATTGTAAGTTCCTCCTCTGGGGCGAGAACAATCCGTCTTCGGAAGAAACATTGCGGCAGCCTTGAGGAAAAAAAAGGAATACGGCGTCAATGGGAGGACCAGTTGGTCCGTCTGACGGTACGATATCGCAACGAGATGTGGTGCGTGTCCGCCCTTTGCCC